ACACGAACTGGTGGACACGCCACTGGGGATCCATCCCCATGGATCCATCCCCGTGGAATCGGCATCACCAGAAACCTCCCCGAATCCAAGCACCGCTCAGCTGGTCTGCGTAATGCACCCTTCTGCTGCTTTCCCTTTTCCTCTAGATTTTCGTGGCTTGGTGCAGAGGAAGAGCGCCGGAAGGTTACGGCGGAACCAGTAAAAAGCCTCCGATGCCCTGCTTACACCGAGGGGCTCTGCGGGCAGCGGAGCGGGCAGCAACGGCAGGGGAACGGGCTGGAATCCATCCCCGGCACAGCAGCATCCGTGAGCGGCACACAGGGCAGACCGCGCGCTCCCGTCTCCCAGAAAAAGCCGGATAACAGGAAAATCCTCACGGCATCTGGTCTGAACCTGCGTGGGTGCAGGGTGTAGGCGCAGGCAGGGCTGCCTGGCGCTCAGGCTCCATCCCACGAGGTCCATCAGGGCTGGAAGTTTCTGGCGTTTCAGAGGGGCGCAAGCCACCACAAGGAGCGTCCCCATCCCTGTCCCCTCCCGATGCTGGTCAAGAAGCGACTGAGCAAAAAACCCCGTTAATTTTCAAGCCGCCTGACCCAGTTTCCCATCAGCAGGACAGAATCACGCTCCTGGTGACAGCCCCAGCTCAAAGGGTTTGCTCCCCTCAACGCTTCTGTCCCTCCCCTCACCCCCCAAAAATGGGGAGTTCTTAATGCCTGCCTCTACTTGCACTCGCCGCTTTCCCAAGCGCTGGCAGGAACAGCACCGTTGCCCACGGTGCGAGCAGAAACCGTGGAGACTCAGCAGCCTGGAACTGCCAAGAAAGCCCAATTATCCTAATTTAAAGCAAAGATGCAAATTTCAGAGGTTGAATCCTGCTGGAGCAGCTGCCTTACACATCCCCGGCAACGAGGGTGCTCTCCTTCATGACTCCTCTGGTTCTGGCTGATCTGGGTTACCTTCTTTGAACTGTAAATTGACGGTTTTAGTCAAAAAAAGGCACAGGGCCGAGCTGGTGGAGGGCAGGGGGTCAGCTCAGCCTGGCAGCTCCATGAAGTGTCCGAAAACTCACCAAATTACCCAGTTCCCAAGGGCCAGGTCATTGCTGGGGTGTCTTCGAGCCAGGCTCGGCCAAGCACCGAGCCAGGAGAGAAGGAATGGAAAAGGGCCAGCCAAAGAAAGGAGGGTTTGGGGCATCCCAATGGAAAACGAATGAAGAAAAATAAAAAAATCTGAATTTGGTTTCTCACCCCGGCCTCTCTGCATACTGCACACCGCAGGGCTGACAGCACCAGCTCGAGGAGGACATCGGTCACCTTCCCAAAC